CAGACATAAACCGTATTCATCTAGCTAGCAACGACACAGTTCTCTACGACCCGTCAGGAAGTTTATTTGGTCAGTCAGGATACACACGAGAGAAATACATTGACATACGTACGTGTAATGCCGGGCAACCGACAAACTCGCAACATCAGACACTTGCTTCAGACATTTTTCTTAACCATCCAACGCGAGTAACCAACACAGGAGTAAACCTAGGGACACGCGACACACACGAGAGTAACGAGTGCAGTAATGTATATGAAACTATAGAGTAGGCTACAGAAACTCAAGCACTAACGCAACACTTAATGCTAGCATTGAGGCGACTACAGAAGACTCATCGCAGAATACATTTTGTAGCTCAGGGTACCAAACAAATAAAATTACAAACAATGGCATATGCAACGCCAGAGAACCAACGAGCTAAAAAATCATCCAACTTAGAAACTCTTCATTAACAAACTGGCCAAGTCTTCAATATAGATTCACACCAAGTTCAAACAACACCTTCACATAGTCTGAAAGTTCGGATGTTTATGATACCATAGAACACAACAAATTACATTGTGGGCAGTACTTTGGTCTTGCGAGAAGCTGGAATCATAAACATTTGTTTACTTGTAGAAATAATCTTTCATGTTTTAGTTATTAAACAGCCATTATCAAATTTTTATCGGAGAAGTGAGTTGTATATTTTGCTAAACTACATTAACACTAATGCGCTTTGCTTACTTTTATTGAAATCTTTATAATGTAATCATCACTAATCCTTTAATAAAGGAACTTAAACTTTCTTTACCAAAAAAGTCATGTTGCATCTTTTAACAAAATCTGTATTGTGTGTGTGTGTGTGTGTGTGTGTGTGTGTGTTACTCAACACGTAGCCCAACGTGTGTACTGAATGGTTATTAAAGTCACCAGCCCTAGAACACACAGCAGTACCTAAATAATTATTTCCTACAATGAGTGTAAGAAGCATAAACAATACAATTTAAAATCAGATCTAATTGTAAACAGTCTTGGTAAAATATTTTATATATACTAATTAATTTAAATCTATATTTCAATATAACTTCTAATTAAAAAAAAAAAAGATTCCTCTTTAGACCTAGCGAACCATTTGGTAGATGAAGTAGAGTTCGTGTGTTTTTTGGTCTCTGCATATAAAGGGATGCTGTGGTCAGTATTTTGCCCAGCCGCCTTTACTTTACCAACCGTGAGTTAGGTACCCATCAGAAATTGGTGTACTCAAGGACATTCCACCTACGTGAACCCGGATTCGACATTGAGACTTTTGGGTTAGCAGTCTAGCGCCCTAACTCTGTCCACACGTCCCGTAACTACTCTATCATAATTTTTTTGGTATTTAATCTGTGTTATCCCCCTTTATTTACCATCTATTCTTGGCGTTGAAACATGTGTACATAGTGTGTTCTTCAGGCCAGTGTGTGGTAGGCTATTAAAAATAGCTTGTGTCCGGTTGTTGGGCTAGACTTTGATGAAACATTGACAACCTCATGTGCGTCATTCAATGTGTGGTAGGCTACAGAGGCGTAGCGAGGGGGGGGGGGGGGCGGGGAGGGACATATGTCACCGGGCGCCGACCTTAGGGGGGGCGCCAAATTGAAAGATTGAGGGGGGGGGGGGGGTGCAAATGAAAAGTTCGAGGGGGGGGGGGGGTTGCAAATCGAAAGTTTGTCCCCGAGCGCCGAGAAGGGTCGCTACGCCTCTGGTAGGCTATTTAAAATAGCTTGTGTCCGGTTGTTGGGCTAGACCAGGGGTTCCCAACTCTGTGCCCGAGGGCGCCATGGAGCCCACTTAACGATTCGTATGTGCCTGCCTCTCACTATTCGACAGAGACAGAATTTTTTTCATAAACAATTTTTTTAAAAATCTGATTTATTTTTATTCATTTGTTACAGTTTTAATTTTTTTTTGACTGACTAGGTTTATTAAATATGTTCGATTCTTGTCCGAACTTGTCTAGCGGCGAGCCAGACTGCACTATTTTCGCTAGCTTGGAACGGCTAGAGCCATTTGCACATCACACCTTGTACACGCAGAAAGTGTGCAAAAAGCATTCCCCGCCTGGAACTGCGTTGTTGTCGTTGTGATTGCTGCCCTGTTCGGATCGCGACAGTTAGTTAAGAGACAAGTTCGTCAGACGAAACACGAATTAGGAGTTTTTTAATTAATAAAAAATTTATTAACAGGCTAAAAGCGAGGTGCGTGTTTTGTTTACTTTCTTTACGTTTTTTAAATACATTTCTCTGTGTGTATGCTTTTTGAAAAAAATGCCAAATAATTTTAATATTTTGAAACATTTTTATTTATTAATACATTATGACTATAAGAAAATAAGAAAATAAATTATGGGAAAATGACAAGTTATGGAAGGAGTTTGTCGATTTAAAATAGGTGGTGCCCGCCACCCTACCGATATTTTAGAATGTGCTCTAGAGTAAAAAAAGGTTGGGAACCCCTGGGCTAGACTTTGATGAAACACTGACAACCTCATGTGCGTCATTCAATTTCTGGTAGGCTATTTAAACTAGCCTGTGCCTGGTTGTTGGGCTAGACGTTGATGAAACATTGACAACTAACATAGCAGTTATAAACATTGACAACATTACATAACAATTATAAACATTGAAAACCTCGCATAGCATTTATAAACATTGACAACCTCACATGGCAACTATAAACATTGACAACCTAATAGATCCATTATAAACATTGACAACCTCACATCGCAATTATAAACATTGACAACCTAATAGATCCATTATAAACATTGACAACCTCACATAGCAATTATAATTATTGACAACCTCACATCGCAATTATAAACATTGACAACCTAATAGATCCATTATAAACATTGACAACCTCAGATAGCCATTATAAAACATATTTAGCATTAAATAGGTCTGGCTAATGCTACATTTAACATGGCTCTCTCATGACGTGTTTTACAGTGTCGCTGTGTCATTTTAGAACAGATAAAACTGACGTAGAACCGCCTTGTTTATGTCGATAATCTAAGTTTAACTAATCTGTATCCGGTCCTGTTTCCGTTAAGAAATGTAGCAATCAAGTGGTTAAGACGTGCACTTGACAATGTGTTATTCCCTTGTAGCATGCAGGAAATATTTTATTTTAGATAATTAAAGTGTGTGAGTTAGCGTCATTACAAACGCTACACTAATTTATATTTTAGGACGATGTAGAACAATATAAACTCTTTTAAAGTAGTTATTTTGGATATTTGGACATATTTACCACAAGCAGCTTTTACAAAAAAAAATAATTCAAAACACAGTACAGCAATAACATTTAAAAAAAAAAATTTATAGCAAAATTCTTGTTATATAATGAGTAACGTCCAGTTTCAATTTCGTTTTCTTCAAGATCTATAATTTTCTTCTTTTAGAAGTTCATTAAGTTATTTTAGAATGACAACACTCTTCTATAATTTCAAATTTGATATTCAAACATCAGAAGTGAGAAGATTTCAAAATAGACAAATCAGCTCTCGACAATAAAGCGGTGTTTTATTTTAATTTTGTACACACTGCAAAGCAAAACAATAAATAAATAAATAAAAATTCATCGTTTGACACGACAGTCAACTAGAACTTTTGAAATGAGTTTCAATGATCTTCCAAAATGGGTAACTACATTTATTTTCCATTTCTCTACTGGTTTTCCAGTAAAATAAGTGTGGGAGGTTCTACTGGTTAGTTTAATGACAATATCTAGTCATTAAAATCGTTGAAACAATTACTAATCTATTTTAGCAGCTACGCCAGTCACGGTTTTGTTATGTATGTTTTTCCTTCCCTGTCATGCATACAATGGGAGCGTCAAACAGTGAGTCATGTTTCAAGTTTACCACTTGAAGTACTGGAGTACTGCGCTGAAAATAGAATCTCAAAACTGAAGTGATTCAAAAACTACTTAGCAGTGGCTGATCATTTAAATGATGAAACATATTACAAATGAATAAAGTAACAAAAGCTACTACATAATACAGAAAAATATATAATTTGTGTGCTATTATAGCGGCTTAGAATACTAAATTTGGCCGATTCAAATGAAAGTCTATACAGATGTGTGGAAAAAAGGTATATGTGCAATATAGTCCCAATAATCGGACAGATGTATACATGTTTATGAACATTTATATTTTTAGGGGAATTGATATATTATTATGCGTGGTGTTGGGTTATGAGCAAACAAGAGAAAAAATATTTGAAATGATAGATATGTAAAAAAACAACATAAAATATTAAGTAGTTATAAATGTTTAGTTCTACAAAAAGTACAATCCAACACCAACACCAACAACAACACCACTAACAACGACACCACCACCTCCACCACCACCACCAACAACATCACCACCACCACCACCAACAACAACAACAACAACACCAACAACAACACCACCACCACCAACGACAACAACACCAACACCAACACCACTACCACCAACAACAACAACAACAACTACCACTAATAATAATAATAATAATAATAATAATAGTCATAATAAAAAATTGTTACAATTATACAAACATTGTTATTCTTATTAATGTTATTTATATTATTGTTGTTATTTGTATTATGCAACAACAGCAAGGATACCATACATAATAAGAATAATGTAATATCTTTAATATGAAAATGGATCATATTAGCTTCTAACAAATGTAATTAAAATATGAAGACATTGACTGGTTATCCCATTGAATATATATAATATGGCAAGTCTGTTTACACATAACTGTTTTTACATATGTATGGCTTAAAATATCAGTACTTTTTTAACGCACCCTAAAAACTATAATGCGTTGATTTATTTAAAAAAAAATATTTTCAAAATCTGAAAGTGCAATCTTCAAAGTAAACACTTAGTTTTTAATTAATATTTTCTTTTAAATTATAACATATGTTCGCTTATTAAGTTAAAAAAAAACATAATTTTGACTTTTTAAAAAGAGATCTACGCCTAAATTATCATAACCCAATGTTGTTTTTTTTCTTTCCGGTAATCAATTTTTGTGAAACTGTATATCTGCATACGACACCTCCTGCACATCATCTGACTTAGCTCCCTTAATCTCAGGAAAGGTTGTCTGTGGGTTGATCTCCACACTGACGTAGACCAACCCGTCTTGGTTTCTGTAGCGACCAACCACTTGCTCCTGTCTGGCAACCTGACCAGTGCTCCCCTCATCATAGACCGCTGTCTCACCCTCATTCTCGGTCTCCATATTATTGTTAGTCCCTGCACTGGCAGCCTACAGATTAAATTGAGTTTTGCTGGGTTTTTTTTTAATACAACTTAAAACTAAAGGAAAGGTCTTGGTTTTTTTTTAGTAGTAAGAGTATAATGATTACAGACATTGGACAATGATAAACAGCTTTTATATTTTTTGCAATCGCATCGTATACTATTTTAGAATTAATAAAGCGTTTTATGAAATAAATGCGGGGAAATATAATTCATCCTTGTTCTAGACATAATTGAGTTTCAAACATAGTAATTTTTATTTTTTATGAAAGACATTGCATTACAACCACCAACCCCCCGCCCCTCCCCATGAACGAAGTAGAAGTTATATAGAAAATATATACTATTCTCAGTGTTCCCCCCGAGTCAGTCGGTCAGTTATTCAGTTGTTCAGACGTTCAGCCAGCCAGCCGGCAACCAAGCCAGTCAGTCAGTCAGTCGGTCAGTAGGTCAGTCGGTCAGTCGGTCAGTCGGTCAGTCTGTCAGTCTGTCAGTCTGTCAGTCTGTCAGCCAGTACCACAGCCAGCTAATAAGTCAGTCAATTAATCAGTCATTCAATGAGTCAGCAAGTCAATTACTGAGTCAGTTATTGATTCAGTCATATTCTAAGAATTTTTTACATATATGTGTTATTTCGACAAGCCAGCGATTTTTGTGACAAAATGCTACATTTTTATTCGTCCACAAGCACTGTTAATTTAGGTTAGATCACAACAAAAAAGGTAGGAAATCGTGAGCTAACACTGTTACCAACTCACGTTACAATATATGGCGACGTTTTCCGCCTGGTCTTGTTGTGAAGATTTGAAATATTTCACCGTCGGCTGATTGTTGTAAACGTTGTGACTCACACCTCCATCACTAGCTAAACAATCATCAAATAAAAAACAAAAACAAAAGTTGTCAATTTTAAACCCCAAAATTTAAAAAAATAATTATTTTACATACAGCTCTAAATTCTAGCATTTAATTAGTCTACTTAAGTAAATCTGCAAGCTAAAGATTACCAAAGTAAAAAAAAAACTTAAAATTTTTTCTATATTACTAACAGGTCCGCTAAAATCTTTCTAAAAGCGGTGCTGAACCATTAAGATATAAATACATAAAGATATCAACTGTAAAATACTAGAGATTACCTTCAAACGTATTCTGCAGTGAATAAATTGATCCGTTGTTATCAACTTCAATTATACCCTTGTTATCAGCATCTGTTTATATGAAAACCGCAATTAAGAAATTATCAGTTTTTTTAAACGACGTAGTAATGCTGTAAAATATATTTTATTCACTCGTAATAAACACACTTAGGGTGGATTAAACAGTTACATTTTTTATATATTATACTTACTTCTTACTCTTTTTCCAATTCGCATTCTATTTTTCTTCACAAATACTGACGTTATAATTACAATGGCTACTAAAATAACCAGAATAACACAGACTGCGCTTGCTACTGTTTGTATAAAATAATAATTGCTCAATGCTGAAAAAAAATATAAATTCGTCTTAAAAATATTATGCGCGACTTTATTATAAGAAATATTATGTGCGACTTAATTGATATGCTACTACGAAAACTCGTCTTTTTTTCTAAGTTTGTATATATATATATATACATATATATATAAATATATATATATATATATATATATATATATATATATATATATATATATATATATATATATATATATATATATATATATATATATATATCAGGGGTCTCCAAACTTTTCAGTCCGAGGGCCGCATTAACTATCAATTTTCAGTTCGGGGGCCAGTTTCTTCCTGGCATGTCTTTGATTTTTCTGGTCAAAGTTCCTCATCATCACCAACAAGCGATTTTTTCTTGGACAAAAAGGTCTCCGCGGGCCGGATGAGAGGACTTCGCGGGCCGCATCCGGCCCGCGGGCCGTAGTTTGGAGACCCCTGATATATATATATATATATATATATATATATATATATATATATATATATATATATATATATATATATATATATATAATCGTGCCCGTCCAAATGCGTTACCGCGGGGATAGAATAAAGTCTGACGAAATATTTTATCAGGGTTTCATTAATGCGTTATTAATATTATATTTTTAGACGTGTGATCTTCTTTATTATTATGAGTTATTTAAATGTAAATAATGCCTGCGTTAAAAATTTTGAATCACATTTGTCAGGTTTCATACACTACCGCTAAAAAAAAAAGCCCGGGACGGTAAATCGAACCTTGTCGGGGCGAAGGTATCTGATTATGTTTAGTGAACGACTATAAAACCCAATCTTATGCATGGTCTATTTCAATGTTTAAACGAACGTAGGCGCCATAGCGCTCACGGGAAAAAACGCGGCGCCAAATTGCATCCTGCCGGGGGCCGCCCGTGCGAAATTAAATTTCCCCTCCCCCCCAGAAACCTTCTCGGGAGTATTCTTAGAAATTCCCCCAAGTGTTATGGCACTCAGATAAACAGTGTCAAACCGTATCCGACTTTCATTTATTTTAAAATACAGTATATAGGGAACAATCACACACTAAGAGGGCGCCACCCTTGCGAAATTAAAAAAAAAGGTTTTCTTTTTACAAATTTCTCCCCTCAAGTGTTCTTAATCGATTCCCCAAAAGTTTGATGCCTATTGGATGAACGGTGTCAAACCGTAATATAGAAAAAAAACATATTGAAATTTTTTTTTCGAAGAAACAACCCAAGAAGCATTCACAATAACTTACCAAAGTTTCATGGCGATCGGATGAAAGGACGTGTAATAATGCATAAAAGACAAACAAACAAACAAACACACATACATTGCTTTATTTATATATATAAGATAGAATATATATATATATATATATATATATATATATATATATATATATATATATATATATATATATATATATATATATATATATTCTGCAAATACTTTGGTTTAAAAGTAAGTAAACTATGCAAACGATGGATTATGACTTAGATGGTTGCTAAAAGAAATGTAATGCTTTATTACCTTAGTTTTTTACAATATTTACAATCCTCAATAAGATACAATTAACAGATCTTCTAATTCGAAAATAAACACAATTTCTTTTTTTACAAACTATAAAATAGAGTTAAGCTAATTGTTTTGGTTGAAGAAGCAGTAGCCAAATAAAAATTAATTTGCTAAAAACAAAATCAATTATAAATACAAAATGGCTAATTGGATTTTTGTTTGTATTATAACTCAATGCAAATAGAAATGTTTTACGGTTTTTTTTGTGGTGTTAGTTTAGCTGCTCTATTAAAAATGGTTTGATTACATACGTGAGTTTACTATAACTGGAGTAGCAACAGTTACATTTGGACATGTCCTTCTGCCCTCGCTGTTCTCAACATCTATAGAAAACGAGTAGTTTGTGTTCGCTGATAGGCCTGTGACGTTGTAGACAATAGTTTCTTTAAGTGTCTCATGTTCGCTGATGATTGTCAGAAGTTTTCCTCCTGTCATATCTTGTACCAGAAAACTTTGAACTAATCCGCCGTTAAATCCAGGTGTCCAGGACAACGAGACAATGTTTTCACCTACATATAAAGCTGTCAGGTTCTCTGGGCATAGTGGCGGACCTAGGTAACAATTAATATCACATATTACTATTATTAGTACACTATACTACCAGTGCTTAACCATCATAATGAATATATTGTCAATTGACAGAAAGAGCCCTCTATCAGAGGCGTAGCGTGGGCGGGGCGGGGGGTGCGGAACGCAACGGGTGACACCATTTAGGGGGGTAACACAAAGGCAAAAAAATCTTTTTTTGGGGGGGGGGTCACACCTCAAAGTTCAGCACCGGGTGATACCCGACGCCACTGCCTTCTATAAATTTCTTTGATTGTAAGACGAATTACTGAAAGTTTCCATCTAAAAGTTATCTAAAAGTTATCATTTATCATAAGCACATGGAAGGATATTAACTTTATCAATACTATTAATGACAAAATTAGCTCAATTTCTCTCGAGAGGTGGATCTGTAACAAATTCACACACATCTAAAGTAGATCTGAAATGTCTATTTACCTTTAGCAGTAAGTTGGAAACTCAGAGCTTGCGGAGGAAACCCTTTGTCATTTTGTACTTGGTAGATACCCAATTCTACTTCTGTCAAGTTAAATATTTTTATAACCAGGGTACCTCGGGCTGAAATTTCATTCGTGTAAGTGTAGCTGATTTTGTATCTTTGTTTAAGGACAGGTTTACCTGTTGAACAAAATATAGAAATGACACTATTGATGGAGAAATACACTTTTTTTTTAAAATTAGATGATTAATACAGATTTTTTTAAAGAACATCCCAAGTCTTTAAACTTTTAAAATACAGACCACTAAAATGTAAACTGAATTGTGTTGGCGTTGGATAAGAAACAGCACACATGGAGAGTGAAACACCAGTGTTTACAGGTACACCATATTTGTGTTCTATTTGTTGACTGTCACAGTGATTGATTCCACCTGGATTGTACACAACAGTTAAATGTGATTTGAAGCTTTAGTATGTTAAAAATGTTTTAGAGAAGTATAAACCACAATAATTATATATATTACGGTCAATATTAGATTATAAAAAAGTATAAATCTGTGTTTCTAACTGAACTGGATTTAGTAGAAGCAGATCAATTTACAAAAGTAAGATCAGAAGGTGCACAATATTAATTGTTCTACTAAGTTTTAATTATCTCCACAGATTAGAATATTTTCAAAACTTATGTCAGAATAATCATTTTAAAACTGTTAAAAATTTAAAACGTTTGTAATAGAGGATATTTTTCCATTTGTCTTATTTGATCTTACTAAAAGATTTTGGTTTCCCCTAGCGTTTGCTTCTATTCTCAGTTAATGTATCACCAAGAATAACATCCATTACAACAAACAGCAACACGTAACACAGCACGATGTCTTACAATATATTTTCAAAGTAAAGTTCTTGAAGTCTCCATTTTCTAGGCTGAGGTTGTTTTTTGCCGAACAAATGTAAACACCACTATCGTTACATTTTGCAGTAAAAGTGTACTCGATATAATTGTCTGAGGACTAGATGTGGTTTAAGGTGTTTATGTCATCATTGTCGTCGTAGTAATTTACATGAGTGGGCCTAAACACGCATGATCATGTAAAAACACACACAGGCATACATTTACTTAAAATAGCGCAAACACACACACACACACACATATATATATCTATATCTATCTATTTATCTATCTATCTATATATATATATATATATATATAATAGTTTATTTTAACATTTATTGTAATTAAATTTTTAAAAATCATGTTAACAACCCTTACTACATTCAGTATTTTCGTGTTTTCATGATCTGTATATAATATCTGTGTCCTAGCAACAGGGTTGCCAGATACTGAACACCGTAACACTGTCAGCTGGTTAACTCCAACATATTTTGGAGATTTTGATGTTGCATTGTTTACAGTGAATGAGCTAATGGATGCTTGAACTGTTCAATATAAAATAAGGCAATCAATGCAGTGATTTAATTGTTAAACTATACTTACACAAATATTTAATAGACTATGCTTTTGAAAAGTTTTATTACAACAACTGATGGAAACTCAATTTGTTTTTTACGTTATGCTAATTGCATATAATAACATCTATTTCTTATTTGCATTATTTATTTCGTAAAACAGTATAGCTTATATAGAATGAATAGTTGTAATAAAGTTTGTAATTTTAAAATTAATTTTAATATATAGATTATTGAATCTTATCATATCGCTAGTCATTTAAATACGTTTATTCTTTAAAAAATACAATTTAATGTTAATTGGGAAATGTATTCCTTAATTTTGATGCACTTGATATATATATATATATATATATATATATATATATATATATATATATATATATATATATATAAATGAACTCCTTAAGAGTTTAAAAGCTTCATTATAGGAATATAAAGTTCCCTGATCAACGTTATAGTAACTAATATTTCGCTTTGTAATAACATTAATTTTAATATACACAACTTGAAAATAAAATAAATAATCTGTCAAGTTTTGAGCAAGAACATTAGCAATTAATTAGAGGCACAGAATTTACAACTTACATTTGACATCAAAGTTTACACTGCTGGAAAGTGTGTACTGGTTGGTTACATGACTTGCACTACATGCACATTTCACCTGATCAAATTTGCTTGCAATCGTCAGGTTTTTACGAATTTCTGTGCCATCGGATGTGATATATTTACTACCCCAATATCCATAAGGGTCAAATACGTCCCTGTCACAGGTAAAACTGACTGCGTCCACATTTGGATTTCCACCTTCCACTACACACACTATTACTAAAACTTCACCTGCATTAACTCGAATGCTTGAATCAACCATGGCATTTCGAGGTATTGTAGAAATAACTGGAGATATATCTGGGGGATCTATTGATTTAAAAAATGAATGAGTATGTGTTAGTTAACTATATTTGAAAATATGACTCCCAGCAATTTACCTAATATTGTATTTTTATTGGATTACCCAATTAACACGTTTTAGCGCTAATATATTTACTTATGATCTTCAATGTGTTGATAAAAAAATGTAAATGCATATTTTATATAGTCGCATTGCTTAGTAAGATGTTGATATATATTTATCTAAAACAGTGTCCAATAATTTTTTTTTGCAATTCACTCTCTTACCTAAGTTCGTGGTTTATTTTTGTGAAACACACATATTATTTTTGCTCATTATATACCCTACTGGTTAAAAGTGTCTTAAAAAAATCTTACAATTTAATAAAGGCTGTTTTCTTTTTTCAAATTTTCATTTTAAATTACAAAAAACTTTTCAATGCTGTATATTTTGGCCCATCATAAAATCAAAATACCATTAACATGACAATGGCTATAAACACACATGGAATTTATAATTCGAAACTAGTTCCGAACTAATTGGCTACACACAACGAAAAGAAAATGTATGAATCTTTTCAACTCCTAGTACTATAGACACCAGAATTGTTAAACTGTCTCCAACTACAAAAGACACTTATTATCACTTTGGTATCTAACAACAAATCGACAAAGATTTAAAATTCAAGAACACAATTGAAACATGTTAAAAGTTAGCAAAAGTGTGTATTCCGATAAAAACGATAGAGCAGTTATAAGACAATTATAATTATAGAAAATAAATTTACTTATGTAAATTAAGTTGAAATCTTGAAAACAGATTTACATTAAACACAAACGTCCAGTTGCTTAGTAACGATAGCTTTCAATAACATTATTAGCTGTACTGTTGCATTTTTTGTTATCTTCCCATTGTGCCAGTTACCTTTGTAACCAACTTACTTTTTTTAATAGGGGAAGATTATAATTAGTTTTGAAACTTTAATTGCTGATAAAAAATATATAGTGTATCTCCCCCCCCCCCCTACTGTACACTGGAGTGTAATCACAACGTACAATATATTATACTAATATGACGAAATTTAACATACCAAATAGAAACAGTATTTACAGTATCCTTTTTTCACAGTAATTGAGAAAAAAGGACTTCTAGTTGTCGAAAATACTTAAAAACGTATAGATACCTATGTACGTGAAGTAAGTTATTCGTAACCCTTTGAAAAAAATATTTTAAACCTTTAACGTTTGGAAAAGGTTTTTTCTTCTTTACAACATTATTTCTTTGAAGCATTAATAAAGCGCAGTGCTCGTAATCACATAATACAATATATTACAGTAATATGACGCAATTTTAAATATCAAACAGAAACAGTATTCATAGTATCATGTTTTATAGAAATAGAGAAAAGCTGACATCTAATTGTCAAAAATATTTTTAAAATTATAAAAAAATAACTAAATAAAATAACTATCAAGGAGAAGTGGGTAATTTGTATCCCGAGAGAAAAAAGAATTTAAAAGTTTTAAATTTGGAAGTATTCTTTTAAAGCGATATTTCTTTTAAAAAATAACGAACGTGCTGTGCTCAAAATTTTGTCTTCTTAACCTAGACTGCTTAATATCTTAGTATAGTAATGACCGAGTGATTTTTTTTTAACATCAAATACAAATTGTACAACTTAATAAGCCGCTTGCATGTAACAACAGTTTAGAGATACACTAGTTGGAACGATATAATGAGAAACGCTTTACGCAAGTAATTAGATGTAAAGATTTTTCAACTTACATTTGACATCAAATTTTACGCTGCTTGAGAGATTGTACTTGTTGGTGACATGACTTGCACTACATGCACATTTCACCTTATCAAAGTATCTTGTAACCGTTGTGGTTGTACGAATTTCTCTACCCTGGTTTGTTTCAATTATTCTCCAATTTTCTTTAAAGATGTTCCTGTCACATGTAAAACTGACTGAGTCCACCGTTGGGTTTCCACCTTCCACTTTACACACTATTTCTAAATCTTGACCTGCAGTAACTCGAATGTTTGAACCATCCTTAGCAGTTGTAGGTGTTGTAGAAATTACAGGGGACCTCACTGGGGGATCTATTGGTTAAAAAATAATTTATATCGGTTAATTAATAACATCTGTAAATCTAACAGAGCCGCTTACCTAATATTATAATATTGCTAGAATACCCAGTTATACATTTTTTCTAGAACTAATATATTTACTTATGAACTTAGTATATTGAGAAAAACTTTGAAGTGTATTTTTCACACTGTCTTATTGCACAGTGCGGTGGGAATACATAAAAAACTAAAATCGTTTCAAATAATTTTGTTGCTGTTCGCTCTAATACCAAATTTTAGAGTAAATTTGTTTGCGCGACACAGACATTAGATGTGTTCATGAAATACAATTACTAGCAAACAAATTGTCTAAAACAAACCATACATTTTTAACATGACAAGTGCCAAAAACAATCCTGTAATTTGGATTCAGGTCAAAATGATACAAGAAAAACTATTTCCTAAAAATAATTCCACAAACAAAAACAAGAAAAATGATGGTTCTTTTCAGACTGCTAGTATTAAGACACCAGAATCATTAAAAAGTCCCAAACTTAAAACGTCCCATTAACACAATATATATATATATATATATATATATATATATATATATATATATATATATATATATATATATATATATATATATATATATATGTGACTATCTATTGCACATTGAATAACTCTATTGGACGTTCGTTATGCACAGCTTTATTTTGTAGTTTCATGAACACGCCAAAAAAAACCTCTCTGTTCGACGTTTATATTAGCAAAGTTTTACTAGCTTTATGCCTGAAGCCTAGCTGAACATGTTGGTTACTTAATTAAAGCGTAATAATATTTTGTTAATATATACAAAGGGGTATCTTTTTTACAATATTACATGCAAGTTTGAATCTTAATATTCTACTTGCAAGTAATAATAATTTAAATATAATTACTTGAAAAATAAATTTGTAAAGCTTTAAGCGAGAGTTTCAGCCAGTATTTAAATGTAAAGTTTTACAACTTACATTTGACATCAAAGTTTACACTGGTGGAAAGTGTGTACTGGTTGGTTACATGACTTGCACGACATTCACATTTCGCCTGATCATCATAGCTTCTAATCGTCAGTTTTTTACGAATTTGTGTGCCGCGGGAAGAGATATATTTACTCCAATATCCATTAGTTCTCCAACTTCCATTAGTGTAAAATACTTCCCTGTCACATAAAAAACTGACGGATTCCACATTTGGATTTCCACCTTCCACTGTACACACAATTTCTAAAGCTTCACCTGCAGTAACTCGAATGCTTGAACCATTCATGGCATTGTCCGGTATTGTAGAAATGACTGGTGACTTATCCGGGGGATCTAAATGTTTTAAAAAATTGATGAGTAAGTGTTATTTAATTAGATTTGAA